AGTGAATATCTTATTTCACAATCAGTAAACTTTTTTCTCAGGTAATAAATAGCATGCTCTTTTAGGGAAGACTCGTCATGCTGCCCCAGTACACACCCCATTGAATTTTCCAAAACAGTTAGATACATGATCAAGGGTCTTCCCTCGACTGGTGGCATCAAAACAGGAGGCTAGTACAGTCTTGAGCCAAAGGAGATGTTGTGAGCAAATTCTTGATAAATGAGAGGGAAAATTTTGGGGTACAACACTTAACATAAAACTCCATAATCTCATTTTCAATCTCCTATTTGCCTATAAGAATTGTCCCATCTTCCTTGGTAAGAGACATCATCATGGAGTGTTTTTGTCTAGTCTTCAAAGATGCATAGAAGTATGCATTATTACCATCACCATATTTTAGCAAGTCAATTTTAGTTTTCTACATGAGATTTCTAACTTCAATTTCATTCCACTTAAGTAGATCTTAGGTACACACTTTAACTATATTAATCTTATCCATATTTATTATGTCCTGACATAGGTCCTCCGAGGCTTCTTCCAAATTTGTCCTAACTTTTTCCACCGATATTTTAATGCCTATGATAGGTTTACTTAGGTATCTCAGAATAGGTTGAAATCTCAACAACTTTTTCCATATCACACACATAGCACCACCATTTAAAGGTTCCTTCCAATTATTAGCCATTACAGTCTAGAAACCATTTATGTGCAACACTATTGAGGAACTTGAAATTATAATGTTGTCTCTACCTTGGCTCATATTTTTTAACCCATAATTTTGCATGATCAGAAACTCCAGCATCCATAATATTTAGATTGATGTCCATGTAGGTTTGAAACCACCTAACATTTCCCAGCACACTACCAATCATCGAATAAATTGTTCCTTCTGGATTCTTTTCGAACCATGTAAATGTTTCCCAATACTTTCCATCTCAGATAGCTCAGTCTTCATCATTCTCAAGAGATCTATGTATTATTCTTATTGAATATCTCTTCCCCTACCTCATCTAGGGTATTAAGCATATTGTTAAAATCCCCAATAAGGCATCAAGCATCTTGACTTTGATTGTGAATCCTCTCAATATCATCCTTTAATTTCCTTCTGTTGTGAAAATAATGCCTTGGGAAACAAAGTATAAACATGTTTCTTTACTATCAAGAAACAATTAGGGTAGAAAAGATGGAAAAACAAGAAGAACAACAAGGAATTGGTTATAACTGATATTCTTTACTTTCTCTTTAATCAAGATTACAAGAATAAAAAATAACCCTCTCACCCAAAATTAGGATTTGTAGTATTCAATGATGAGAGACTAGTATGTTATTTATAATAAACCTAACATACTAAACTAATTAGTTTTTTCAAAAATACCCATTACAAGATAACTTAGGGTACAACCTAACTTAAAACAATTGGACATAAAAACCAGGCCCAATTCGATGCTAACAATCCTAGCATTCTTTGACATCTACACACTGGAACACATTTGACTATAACATGTAATTCTTTGATAGCAGCATGTGAGCAATCTTCAACAACATGCTAAACTTTTGTCGAACTATCGAAACCACGAAGCTACCTTTGACCAACTAGAGTTTGATTCCAATATCCCACAAATCTCTATCTTGGAACAAACTCTATAAAATCAAAGAATAAACTAGATTTCTTCATGCAGATTAATCAATTGCATAAAGTGGAAAAACATGCCACTGGGCAATGTCTTAGTGATCATATCAACAACTTTATGATTTGTCGAAACCTTAAGCACTTGGAATTCTCCATGCTCGATTACCCCTCTGATGAAATGCAGCCTCACATCAATGTGATTAGTTCTCTCATGATAGGAGGAGTTCTTAGATAGGTGTATTGCACTTTGACTATCACATTTAACAGTGATAACTCGACCTTGAAGCTTCGGTTTCTTAGCAAAACCTTTAAGCCCCATTGCTTCTTTCACAGCTTCAGTGAGGAAAATATATCCTGCTTCAGTGGTTGATAATGCCACAACCTTCTTAAGTGTTGCTTTCCAAATAATTTTTCTACCAAATATAGTGAAAACATATCCAGAAATAGATTTTCTAGAATTTATACAACCTACATAATCAGAATCGACATATCCTTCGATTACTGATTTACTATCTTCACCCAAGGCTCCACCATAAATTAGGACTCTGTTCAGAGACCCATTTATGTACCTTAGATTCCACTTCAATGCTCACTAGTGAGCCTTTCCAAGATTCTCCATGTACCTGCTTATAATACTTTTTGCATATGCTATGTCGAGTCTAGTACAAACTATAACATACATCAAAGAACCCACTATGTTAGCATATGGGATTCTATTCATATAAGATCTTTCAACCTTAATACTAGGACACTGATATATACTCAGCTTGAATTGAGGGTTTTTTGGAGTCACAACAGGATTTGCATTCGACATACCAAACTTGTCAAGTATCTTCCGTAGGTAAGCCTCTTGAGGTAAGCATAATTTCGACTTCATTTTATCTCTTCGAATGTCAATCCGAAGAATCCTGGATGCAGCCTCCAGATCCTTCATTTCAAACTACTTATTGAGTTTAGTCTTCACCCTTATTACATCTTCGACATTGTTTCTCGCTATGAGAATATCATCAATATAAAGCAACAAAGTAACAAATGAATTACCAGGTCAAAATTGAAGTAAACACAGTGGTCAAACTGACTTCTAATGAAACTTATTCATGCCATGAACTTGTCGAATCTCCTATTCCATTGTCGAGTAGATTATTTCAGACCATATAAAGATCTATTCAACTTGCACACAAAATTTTGCTTTCCCTTTTCGACATACCCTTCAGGTTTCCTCATCGGGATTGTTTCATCGAAATCACCAAACAAGAATGTAGTCTTCACATCCATTTATTCCAGTTCAAGGTCAAATTGTGCCACCATGGAAAGAAACATTCAAATGGACACGTGCTTCACAACAGGAGAAAACACATCATTGAAGTTAACACCTTATTTCTGAGTGAAACCCCTTTCTACCAACCTTGCCTTGTATATTTTCGACGCCACTCCTTCGATTCCTTCCTTAACTTTGAAAATCCACTTAAGCTGACTAACCTGGCTCCAGTGGGTTTCTTGATTTGTTCCCAAGTGTTGTTATCATGAAGAGATTTCATCTTATCATCCATGGCCTTCAGCCATTCAGTCTTATTTCGACTCCTCATAACTTCCTTATGATCTCTAGGTTCTTCGTCTAGAACCTCACTTACAAAGATTAAGGCATAAGTTATAAGGTCTGCATACCCAAGTCTCTGAGGTGGCTTGATGAATCTTCTCGTTTTATCTCTTACAAATAGGTAGTCATCGACAATTTCCTCAACTTCCTTCTCATCTTATACTTCTTCTTCAAATTCATCTGGTATACACAATTCAGCATCAACATGCTTCACCTCAACATGAATCTCTCCATGTTCCAGCTCTTCGCCAGATATTTCTGCACTTTGTTCAACATCATTAGTTTTCTTGAAATCCATTTCAACTTCATTGAAAACTAGATCTCGGCTGGTGATACACCTCCTGTGAATTGGCTCTAGGCACCATATCCTATAAGCATTAACTTCTTCAGGGTATCCCATGTATAACACGGTGGGAGAACTTACTTGTTTGTTTTGCGTTTGATTGTAATTGTGAGGATAGGAAGAATCGCCACCGACTTTTATTTTATCCAAAAGGAAAGGCTGAAAAGAACAGGAAAGACCTTTAGAGATGTTTTCTGAGTTTGGGGGGTAGATTATGAAAAGGGAAGGTATTAGCACCCTTTTCATCCGTAGTTATCTACGGGCTCTTAGTTGCTTGCTAGATCACTTGCTTTTGTTTGAATGTGTGCTTGTGGTGTGGGTTTTGAAAGTATTTTGAAAATGTCTTTGTAATGGTTCTCATTTCTATAAGAACGCGTACAAAGTGTTGTTTTTAAAATAGTTCAAATATGTGTTTGTGGAATGTGTTTTTGAAAAGGTGTCTTCTTTGTAATGGCTCTCGTTTCTATAAGAACGCGTATAAAGTGTTTGTCTTTTGAAAATTTTTCAAGATGAGAGTTGGTGTAAAAAAAAAATTGTTGTGAGCAAGCGAGCAGCTAGGAGCGAATCTAGCTACTCAAAAGGTCTTAGATGTTCTTTTCCTCCTCCTTTAGATGTTGCTATCTTACCATTGATTTGGTAAGAAGCCCCATTGTTGGATGTGAAGGGATAGGTGCGGGTCAATCATACATTCATAGAAGGAAACTTGTGAGACGCTTTAGCAATTTTTGTAAGGGGCTAGATCATTTTACTGAAGGCAATATCGAGGGACATCGAGGGATTACGATATTTTTTTATCGAAGGGTCTTTGCTAAAGCATCCCATATTCGAGGGACATGACTATTTTTCGAGGCAACAAATGGAATTACCGTAAGGGTGAATTTGTGGATAGTGTGTTTGATTTGCATGAATTTAGTCTTTGATTAGGGGTTGTCTATTTATTGTTTTTATCTTGCCATACATACCCTATCTTACTAGCAATTATATGAAAAACGGTAAACTTGCGGAAATTAAAATCCTACATTATTACATCATTAGGGGGATGGGGATACAGTGTGCAAATGAGGATGAAATAGGTGTCTAATTATTACAACCATATCGAATAAGTGGACAGTAATGGAGTATATATATAATACAGAAACAATGTAAAAAGAAGGAAAAACTACATTTTGAACTATTATGTGTCGACACATGCTGTTATGCATCGACACATAATTTTCCTTTCCCCTTCCAAACTAAATCAACTTAGTATGAGTTGACGCATAATGGGATGTGTCGAATCATTTCTTGCTTGTGTCGACACATACGCGTTTTGTATCGACTCATGCACCTTCCATCTCTCTATTTTAGGCCCTGGATAACAGTATGAGTCGATGCATACGACCATGTGTCAACTCATACCTTGCTTTTTCACTTAGAATAAGTCGACCCATATGGGTATGTGTCGACCCATGTTACAGTTTTTTGCCTCCATCACCATTCTTTTGCATGTATCAGTCAGTTTTCAACATATAAATGATAAAAATGAATAGTAAGGAAATGATTAACTTCAGAGTAGTGATTACTTCATCTTATCTTCAGAAATAAACCAAAAATGATGTATGGAAAATGCAAGGTTGACATGACTTACCTTGCAACTGCACTTTAAGTTTTGAGTCTAAAACCCTTCAAGATGTGAAACAACCGGCTGAAAATCATCAAAACAATGAAGTCGCCATCGAACGTCTTTTATCTCACATGAAGGGAAAGGTAAACATCGAGAAAACCTGATGAGGGAGAAGTCACGGTCGAACGACCAAGAGATAAGGGTAAGGGAGTCTGTTACGCAAGGGGAAGGTATTAGCACCCCACACGCCCGTAGTACTCTACGGTATCCACTCTTGTTATCTATCTTATGGGTGTGTTTAATCTATGCTTACTGTCTATTATTGCTAAAGGGAAAGTGCATGCAAAAGAAAAGGAGAAAAAGAATGTAGGGAAAATAAAATTGTGCTCGCCTGGGCCCTACCCCAATGCCTACATATCCTTTTTAAGGAATCAGAGCTACCGTAGTTCGGCTTATATGTTTTTGTTTGTTTGTATTTTCTTTAACGAACAATATTAATCTCGCCTTCTGCCGCAACTCGACCTTTGGAGATTTACGCGTCAGCACAGAAATGAATTAATACGCTCTTTTGAAAAGGGTTTGAAAGAAAGGCCCGAGGGCAAAAAGATTTTTATGTTTGTTGGTGTTTTTTGCTTGTAGATAATAGCTAGTTAACCTCAAGAGAGATATTTTAGCCATTTCTCTACTTATTCATGAAATGAGTCTTTGAGACTTGAATCATACCAAAGCTTAGAACAAGAGAATAATAATGTCGAGAAGAAACCCGCTCATCATCTCTCAAACTTAGACAACACATGGTTTTTGTCAGTAAATTTTTATGTATTTTTGAAGTTTGTAAAAAAAAGTTTTTTGTTTTAACTGCATATGCAAAGGAGGAAAGAAAGTCGCAGGGAGACGAAAGTCACAGGAAGACGAAAGTCACAGGAAGACGAAAGTCACAGGAAGACGAAAGTCACAGGAAGACGAAAGTTACAGGAAGACGAAAGTCACAGGAAGACGAAGGTCACAGGAAGACGAAAGTCACAGGAAGACGAAAGTCACAGGAAGACGAAAGTCACAGGAAGACGAAAGTCACAGGAAGACGAAAGTCACAGGAAGACGAAAGTCACAGGAAGACGAAGGTCACAGGAAGACGAAAGTCATAGGAAGACGAAAGTCACAGGAAGACGAAAGTCACAGGAAGACGAAAGTCACAGGAAGACGAAAATCACAGGAAGACGAAAGTCACAGGAAGACGAAGGTCACAGGAAGACGAAAGTCACAGGAAGACGAAAGTCACAGGAAGACGAAAGTCACAGGAAGACGAAAGTCACAGGAAGACGAAAGTCACAGGAAGACGAAAGTCACAGGAAGAAGAAAGTCACAGGAAGACGAAAGTCACAGGAAGACGAAAGTCACAGGAAGACGAAGGTCACAGGAAGACGAAAGTCACAGGAAGACAAAAGTCACAGGAAGACGAAAGTCACAGGAAGACGAAAGTCACAGGAAGACGAAGGTCACAGGAAGACGAAAGTCACAGGAAGATGAAAGTCACAGGAAGACGAAAGTCACAGGAAGACGAAGGTCACAGGAAGACGAAGGTCATAGGAAGACGAAGTCACAGGAAGACGAAAGTCACAGGAAGACTAGCCTATTTCTAAATCTAATGTTATCGTGTATTAGACCTAAAGTTAGAATCTCGAGGGAATTCTACCTAGAAAGTAGTAAAGTGCAGGAGTAAAAATAGAGTTGTGACGATACCGAACGGAGAAGGTCTGTCGCCTCTTCAACCATGCAAGCCATAAGAGAATTCTATCAAAGCTTCCTTGAGCGAGTGATTGAAAATTATGCTCTTAGCTAGCTTTGAAACTTCATGAAACTCCTCACTCAAGTCTCTTTTATTTACCAATATTGCCAAAGAAAATAAATCGCCAAAATTAATCGCAAACGAAATGAGTATGGGAAATAAGATCTCAGGAGGTGCGAACTAAATTCTCTATGTGCTGCAAAAAATACAATGACATTAGGCCCCATCAAAAATGGACACAATCAGCAAGAAAATAAAAATAATCATGGTCCAAGAATTGACTAGTTTGGCCCATACTAATCATTCTTAATTTTATTATTAATCATATTATTGTATTTATTTGTTGAATTAATAATAAAAGAATAAACATGTAATAGAAATACTGGTTCAGAAAGAAAAAATAAAACAAAAAAAACAATTAAAACTAAAATAAAAAAATATAGGAAAGTTGAGAAAGGGGTTAGGGTAAAAGAGGGAGGTGTTCTCTTCTTCTCCACTTGCGAACAGCAGCAGCGCCGCTGGCCTTCGCCTGAATTGCCGTCTCATTCTCTCTTCTTATCCGCCGATCGATTCTGATGTTTCCCCGCCGTAGACAAAGGTGTCCCAACCTTAATTCCTCAAATCTTTCTTCGCTTCAATGTTAGGCCAGTGGACGAGGTGAAGGATTCCCCAGTTCTAATGGTGGTATCAATAGGTAGAAGAAGAAATATATGCTATAGACGAAGTATTGATTGGAAAGTTCAGAGGGTTTACCGATCGGAGTCCGTCCGATGCGGCTTTAATGGCGGCGATGATGAGATAAAACCAGCGGGGGCTTCCGAATTCCAGTATGCTTCCTATCTGATTCTTGTTATTACTCTTTGTTGTTCTTCTTCTTCCAGTTCTTCTTTCTGTTTCCTTAAGCGGTGTAAGCCGAGGAATAAACTCCGAATTAAACATTTTGAAGGTTGGCGAAGATGCATTGTTGAAGCAAATTAAAGTGAGGTTGGAGGATACAATTCATTTATGAAGAATGTTGATGTCGATGAAGATCATATGGTGAAAATGGCAAAAACTGTGTGTTGTCGTGATGAATACATGGCTTGAAAATTTATGACAGAGGTTACGCAGTGATGAAGGGTTTGGAGATGGTTTGAAGCTGTTCGTGCTTGAAGGTGATGGAGTTTTGTTGAAGGTGAATGAGGATATGAAGTGGCTGCAATTGTTGGTGAAAAAAGATGATTGAAGAAAGAAAGTTGAAGATGAAGATGATGAAGGATGCCAATGAAGATCGAAAGAGAGAAGTGAGAGAATTCTCAAATATTTGTTTTGGTGGTGATGGGGAAGGAAGAAGAGAGAAGAGGGTGAAATTTTTGGTGATTCTCCCGTGAACTTGAAGAATAAGATGATTGAGAGGTAATCTTTTTTTCTGTGTTGAATATCCTATCTATTTTGTCCCTCTCTATGCATATGATCTGTACTCTATTTATCTATGCTGGAAGTTTGTTATGGTTTGTTAAGTTAGTTAGGATTTGGGAAGTGGGAAGTTGGTTATAGTTAGAAGTTAGGGAAAGGTTAGTCATGAAAAATTAGGCTGTTAGAGGAAGTTGTGTTACGGTAGTTAAGGGATGAGCTGGAAAATCTTTAGAGGGGAGGTTATGGATTTAGCTAAGTTTGTTGAAGGCAATTTTGTTATTAAGAGGTAATATGCTATGTGAAGAAGTTAGTAGTTGAACGAAAATGTTAGTTGGTGTTACCATGCTGGATCCGTAGCGTAAGGTGATTGAGGAAGAGTCTGATTTTTCATCAGTTTCGCCTGTTTGAGTATTGCCCTTGAACCTCTCATCCACAGTGGCGTAGATGTTCTTAGTTTCTTTTGCTTCACTAGTTTCGGTGATACCTTTGGACTTGTCACTTTCGGTGGTACCAGAGGTCGCAGTGTTATTCAAATTACCAGCAATGTTATCGGTTTCATTTGAAGCTGCAAAATCGATTGTTTTCTCTAATGCACTAGCCACTAGAGTAGGAGATTCTTGCGGAGCAGAGTCACGATTATCTGGTTTAACAGAGATTGTTGCATCATTATCAGGAAGGTTTCCTTCAGAAGTTTTGTTGACAATAAATGCTGTGGCCAAGTATCGCAAAAGGTGTGGAGCACTAGTTTGGATTGCGTTAAGATACTTGTCTTGGTTAAACAAATCAATGATTTGTGTTCTTCCATTGTCATGGTTGAAAAAGATGAACAGACTCCAATGCATCAACCATATTCTGCTTTGCACCTGATTAATAGGTGATGAAAAATTCTTTGAGTCAATTATTTCCTTCAGGCGGTTGAGCTCTTCAAGAGCAATATCCCAATTTTGCATCAATACTTCAGCTGCCAAATTTTCCCACAATGCATTCAAACTCCTTTCACTATTTGTGCATAATGCTCTGTACTGATAAAGATAGTCAGCAACACCAGAGTAGTTTCCACATTCAAACTGAAACTTGGCATATTGGTATAATGCCTCTATTTGTGCAGCACCAATCTGGTATTTGTCATTGAGCATCTGGAGATTATAGTGTTTATCAGCCCTTAACTCCTGAACAGCAGCAGGATTCTGAAGGAAAGCAACCAGAGGAGCGGCGGCATCTTCAAGAGACTTGAGACGAGCAACAACATCATCCCTACGTTCGACCATATCCTGAGGGACATCTTCAGTATGGTAGAGCGTCTTGTGAAAGTCCATGGCGTAATCAACCATGTTTGTGTTGTTCAAGAGATCGATCTTAGCCTTAAGGATATGGTTATCGTCGTATAACTGTCTCTCTTGGAGAAACTCTAAGAGAGGGAATACCAAATGTTTGTCGAGATTTGGAGCCATCCGCGGTGTCAGATCGTACTCCACCATTCTCTTTGTTCCGATACCGATTCAGGCGAAGTTGTTGATGCTGGTTACTAGAGACAGGGAAGAAGCTGATATGATGGCATGATTGCTTGTATTGACTTGGATTTTTTTGTATGAATGTGCAGGTCATGAACTGAAGATGAAGAACTTTGGCATGGCATGGAATTAGAAGTTTACTCATGGAATTTTAGCACCTTTAGGACTAAAGAATTTTGTTCAAGTGTATTTTGTAACAGTTTTCTTTTCTTTGTAGAATATTGGTGTAATGTAATGAATGTTTGGTTTGGATGAACTTGAAATTTATAGTGTGAATTGTAAATGACCTTTGAGCTTGAAATGTTGGGTGATGAATTTTTTTGGACGGAGTTTAAATGACAAAGTCTTGAAAAAATGCTTGAAGATATGAAAGCATCAAATTTTCTTGTAAGATATTGTTACACTTGAATGAAATTGAATGGAATTGGATAGTATTTTCTTGAATCATGAATGAGAATGAAATTGAATGGAATTGGATAGTATTTTCTTGAATAAATGTTTGAACGCATTGTGAACTTGAATCTGGAATAACGATGAACATCTTTGTAATGCGTATGAACTCTGACTTGAAACAAAACCTTGCAGTCTGTACTTTACCTTCCAAGAAAGCCATATGGCCAATACTTAAGACTCTTTGCCGACTTTAATTCAACCAAACACTTTCTAACATCTTGAACTCAAATCAAACTTCAAATCCAAATCACATTTGCATTCTCAATGAACTCCTAACTTCACTCTTGAATGACAAATAATTTGAATAGCCAATGGGATCTTAATCCTAAAAATAAATCACAACCTTGCCTTTTGTATCATGCCTCATATTCCACGATTCAATCCACAAGTCTCTTATCTTGACAAAGTCCTTTCCTAATTGACGACCTTAAATCATCAAAGATGGATGTAAATGATAATGAAAGAATATGATCAAGATTAATATGAAACCTTATTTCCCCTGATCTTCAATTACTTGAACTTTTATCAATGAATAGAAACCCTGATTTTTAATGAATTTTTTCTTTTCTGAACCAATATTTCTTTTCCTTTACCATACTATTCTTCAAATGCAACTCGAATTCCCAACACATATTAGATGAAAATTCAAGGGAGACCTTGGCCCCAAAGTTAATTGTTCAAAGCTTACTTTAATCGAAGTCAACAGACCTTATCCACATATCTTTGAAATTGGCCCATGATTATGCATTTCAAGGTCTCATAAGAGCTTGTAAGCCCATCAACCAGGTATGCCATGTTGAACAAACCCTGCCTTGAATGTCTTGAACCTTGAATTAACTTGCATGAATTCTTCTATGAGAAACCTACTTCAATCCAAATCTACTTGCATCGCAGATAACAAATGACAATGATGAGGACAATGATTGCCTTGGTTAAGGAGAAATCTATGAATTCATATCTTAGGTCATGAACCATGCTTCACAATTCAATCCTCAGCCCTTAGCGATCGGTTATTTCAACTTGAGATTAGTGTCATAAGGAACATCTTACAGATGGATGATAAAGTCTGAATCACAGAAGAATTCCCTTGATGTGAAACCCTCACAATCTTGATTCCTCGTTCAGACGCACAGAGAAATATCCGGATAAAACATCTTTGAACCATGATTCAACAAAACCTAATTTGATTAACTGAGGAGTAGACGATTGTCATGTCACAGTCATTAATCCTAATCAAATGACAAGCATACTTATAGGAAAGGACGTTATGATTCGAAGCCCACATATGCTAGGTCACGTCCTAGAGTTCTTGACCAGAATGACCTACAATCGGTTGTTCATCAGAAGATAATAGCCTTGCTGTTTAAGGGAGAAGAAGTCCTTTATTGGATATGAGCGCCTTAACCACTATGAAACCCTAGTATCGCACAACCACTGAACTTTGAACCTCAGAGCTATATTGAATGAAATGTATGCCATGTTAGTGACCTAATGAAAAAGATGCAGATGAATGCAAAAGTCTAAGCCAAAATAAAGGAAATTAGGAGGGCAAATTTTGGGGTGCAACAGCTGCCCCTATTTAATCGCCTTCAATCCTGAAGGTGAGATTGGCGTCAGCCTTTTGAACTTTCAGGGTGGAAGAAGATTAAATACTAAAAGAACCCGAAAATTTGCGCTCCGAAGCCAGTCAGGTATTATTATATCTTTGGTTTTTTTTGTATCTTCTGTATATATATATTTTTTTTTTGGTAAAAAGGATTATCAGGGTTAGATGTATGTTTAACCAGAGTTTGATACACAGCAGAATAACTTGGTTATCAAGGAACATCTGTTGGGATTTAGTAACAAACACCTGTGAGAAAGGTATCAAAAGATAACTGCCTGAAGCCTGTAGTAGACATACGAAAAAAAATATCAGAGACACATATCCGGGGTTGGTAGCGGATATACAAGAAAGAGACATCAAAAATACATATCCGTGGTCGGTATCGGACACGTAAGAAAGAGATAAAAAAGATACATATCCGTGGTCGGTATCGGATATGCACAAGAGAGATACCAAAGATACATATCCGTGGTCGGTATCGGATACGTACGAAAGAGACGTCAGAGATACAAGAACATATGTCTGAGGTTGGTAGTAGCCATATGAAACAGGTATCGAAAATATATATCCGTGGTTGGTATCGGATACGCATAAAAGAGACAGACCGAAGAAAGCTCTTGCAAAGAAACACCAATCGAAGGCGGACTTACTGAGGAAGGAGACCAAACGAATGGGACCCCGGACAAATGATGTCAATCGAATGTGTATTTAAAAGAAACGACACCATCCGAAGCGGGATTTTGACAAAAGATACCTAGCCGAAGCGGGGTTTTGAAAGATACAGGTATGCATGTCTGGTCAGAGTTAGATACACAAGAGTGAAATTGATCATCAAGAAACAAATGTTTAGAATTTCTAGCGAACACAGGAACGAGACTAACCGAAGAAAGCCCCATTAAAAAGGGCACATTCGCCTAAATAAGGATGCTAGACAACTAGACTTTGAAGAGACACTGAAAGACTCTTGATCATAAAAGATTAGCTAGGCTAACAAAAGGAGGATCCGACTAACGTGGATAAACCAAAACAAGGAACCGACTAAGCAGGACCTTCAAAGAGCACCGATCGAATGTGTACTCTGCAAGAGAAAGGGACTGGTCCAAGCAGACTCTAACGAAGAA